ACTTGAAGAAGGAACTATCCATAGCTCAGCTTGAAAAAAAACATCCCAGATACATGAAAATGCCATCTTACAGTCACTTTACCTGCAGAGGGACACTTTCATGCATCACTGGGATGCAGATGCTTGAATAAGCTTCAGTTTAAATGGAAATTCATCTGGGAAGGGAAGGCAGAGGTCTCCTGTGGGCATGCCCACTCACCAGGAATGCGCTGGGTGACCTGAACAGCTGTGGCACGTGTCTGCAGGTGACACTGCTATTGTTTTACAGCTTCTCACGTGAGCAAGTGAGTCTTGCAAAGATACTCAGGGAGCCCTGGGCTGCCAGAAGTCCTGTGTAAAAGGAGGGGAGTGAGGGAAGCTGCTCTGTGTCCATCTGACTGGAGAGCTTTGTCTCTACTGGAGTCGTGGTACTGGAGTACTGGAGAGTGGCTCTGAGGTCAGTCTCCTTCCTCAGGAACCAGGGAGCTGCTGTTCCATCACATCTCTGCAGATATAAATATGTGCAAAGGTGTTTTTGCACACCCAGCTCGCTGCTGCTGCCCAACAACCTGTTGTCATTGGGCTGGGGCTGTGAGGAGCCCGTCCCAAAAACAAAAACCTCGTGCAGGGCTGCAGGCTTGGGGCAGAGTGTTTGGGAAGTGGCCCAGCAGGTGTGACCCCAGGCCTGGGGGTGCTGGTAGGGAGGGGCTGGGGGCAGCTGTGCCCAGGTAACCCAGGAGCTCCTGTGGCACCTGGCCTGCATCACGAGCAGTGTGACCAGGGCAGTGGTTGTCCCCCCGTGCTGGGGCCACACCTCGAGCCCTGTGTCCAGCTGTGGGCCCCGCGGTTCGGGAAGGACATTGAGCTGCTGAAGCAATAAAGCTGGGGAAGGGTCTGGAGCACAATGAGGAGAGGCTGAGGGAGGTGTGGGGGCTCAGCCTGGAGAAAAGGAGGCTCAGGCGTGTCCTTATCGCTCTGCACAACTCCCTGACAGGAGGGTGTAGCCAGGCGGGGCTCAGGCTCTGCTCCCGGGGAACAGGATCAGAGGACATCATCTCAAGCTCTGCCAGGGGAGGTTTTGGTTGCATATCAGGAGTAATTTCTTTACAGAAAGGGTGGTTAAACATTAGAATGAGCTGCCCAGCAGAGTGGGGTCACGGTCCCTGGAGGTGTTCAAAGACTGGACGTGACAATCAGTGCCATGGTCTGTTTGGCGAGGTGGTGATTGGTTGTAGGTTAGACTCGAGCTCAGGGATCTTTTCCGGCCTTCATGATTCTGTGTGCTCAGCAGTTCTGGGGCTGCTTGAGGGGCTGGGGGCTGCTGAGGGCAGGGTGTGGGTCTGTGTGGGTTCTGTGTGTCAGCACAGGGTCCTGGAGAAGAGGGCATTGTACCCAATGGGCTCAGGACTTGGTTTTGGCCCCTGGGCCCTCTGCCTCAAAAACTCTGAGAAGCTCCTGAACGAGCCTTCCTCCCGAGCACCTCTCCCTGTGCTCTTCTGTCAGATCCAGCCTGATCCAGAGTGTGGATTATGGCCAGGCTGTTTGCTGCCTCTCTGCCTGCATGTGTGAGCTCTTGTGGTGTTGGATCCAGCCTGTCTGTGCTTGGGATGCTTGTTCCCATCCAGATCTTTGTACTCAAGGATTTTGGTTTCTCCTCACCAAGTTCAGCCACAAGAATAAGTCATGGTCACTGGGCATGGTCCCATTTGCACCAGTTACATCTGACTGGCAGTTGAGCTGAGCACCTCTGGAAATGGGCAGTGCTGGTGTCAGCAGGACCTGGAGAGCTGTAAAGGGCACCTGTGTGCCAGCCAGCATCTCTGAGATGAGCCCTGGATTTATTCCCTGTTTTTGCAGGAGCAACGTGTTTGTGAGCAGCACTGATAGTATGTGTGGCCTGTCAAGGAGACTTGGAGGCTCCCACTGCCAAGGCAGCAGTGGGAAATGGGATGTGAGGAGCCAGTTCTCCCTTGTGCCTCTCTCCCAGGGCTGGACCAGCCCTACAGCCCCACTGGAGCTCTTGTGGGTGCCACCAGAGCAGGAAGAGGGGGGCAGGATGGAACCACAGCAGGGCACAGAGCTCTGGATGCCATCGAGGCATCTCGCTAGGTGTCCTCCGATCCCTGCTCTGGCACATCCAGGGAACAAAAGCTCTTCAGAGCCCGTGGGCTGATAATCACTCCTTGTTTCAGTGCTGGGGTCCTCCCCCTGTCCCTTGGGGAGCTGAAGCGCAGAGATTTCTCAAAGTCGGACAAAACAAGACACCCCGGAGGCTGGAAAACCTCATGGCTTTGTTTTCTCTTGTGCAAAACGATACTCCAGAACTGGGCAGTTATCCCCTATTCCCAGAGTTTGGGAGTGCTGCAGGGCTGATCCCTGCTGGTCTCTGTGTTCCAGCACCCCCTCACTGTTGCTTTCCAGGTGTCTTGCCTGTCCCCATAAGTACCTGGCTCCCACACACCCCTTGGGATGGGGCACCGTGGGGTGCTGCGTGGGCTGCATGTACTGGCTGGTGTCCCCAGAGCGGTGCAGGCTGGTCCCCAAGCCATGCTCTGGGGTGGATGTGGCCATGGTGGTGTGGGGTTTGGCAGGGGTCTAGTGCAGCCTCTCTGAGCAGGTGGAGGTGACAGGCTGTGGTGTGATGCCACAACTTGAGTGTCAGGGGATGCCCTGGGATGCCTCTGTCAGGGGGACAGCTCTTGCAGGGCTGTGCTAAGAGCTGGGGTGCAGGCACAGCCACTCTGCCAGAGCACCCTGCACCTGAACCTTCCCTGTGCCAGAAAGCTCAGGTCCCCATGGGGGGTGTGGTCCTGTGAGGGCCCTGTGCCCGTGGCATGGCTGATCCCAGCAGGGCACACTGCCAGTCCTGCTCCTGGTGCTTTTTCCCACTTGTAAAGGGGAAGCCCTGGCATGCTCAGAACTGTCTGGCTGACTTTTGGAGCTTGATATTTTCTTTAAAATAATTCTGTGCTCAGGCAATGTGCAAAGGTTTCTCAGAGCTGTCACCTGTTCCCGTGCCATTGTGCTGCCCTGGCCTTGGAGTTGTGGTCAGTGTGGGACAGGCTGTCCTGCAGGCATCACTTTCTCTGCACAGGATGCTTTGCTGAACCTCTGGCAGTTGGAGTTGCCCTGCAGGAGCTCCAGGCTGTGGATGTGGGCAGAGGCCGTGGTGAGGGAGAGGGGGAAGAAGGGAAGGTTTGACGCCCTGATGCTGACAGGGACAGCAGCAGAGCTCAGTGCCAGCAGGGTCAGGCCCTCTGTGGTTGGTGGGACAGGGGCCTGGCTGGCATCACTGCAGTGCCCAGCCAAGGGCACATTTCTTTGGCCCCACATGGGCCCCCCAAGGGACCCTTGGGGCTGGCAAGGGGCCCTGCTGCCCCCAACCTGTGTGTGCTCCTGGCCCTGGGCATGCTGCAAGCAGGAGTTGGGAAGCTGCCAGTGCTGATGATGCTCATTTTGCTGTCTGGGAGTTCCATTAACCTGGTGTTAATTTCATTAACTTCCTTTAAAACCAGCAATTAGCTTGGCCATGGCTGTTGGTCCTGTGCCCACAGCTGCTGTCTGTGGTGACTGGAATGCACTCGCCAATGCACAGCCTTGAACAGGGAATGCAAAACTGATTCTGTCCAAAGACTGTGGGCTTTGCTGGGGGGCTGGGCCACCTGGACTGGTCCCTGGCCATGCTGTGAGAGGACATGGGGATCAGCACCCCTACCCCCAAGATGTGAGGGACCCACTGGAGCTTTTTGCTGGAGGGCAGTGGCAGCCCTGCAGCTGTGAGGGTGTCCCAGTGATTCCCAGTTCAAACTGGGCTGCTGGGAGGACCAAGGGCAGGGCCTGAATGCTTCTCCTGATTCTGAAACTGCCCTCAGAGACACCACAAGTACTTGCAGAGCCAAGGGGCAGTGCTGCTCTTACGCCTTTTCAAGTGCGATGCCAGAATGAGCTCCCCCACCTTGCTATGAGCGGTGCCTGGGACCCGGGGGCTTTGGAGGGATATGTTGGGTTTTTACATTTTTCATTTTTTTCTGGGATGTGCTGGTCCCTGGAGCTGAATGGCTCAGGGCTGACTGCAATGTTTGTCTCCAGACAGACACTGAGTGCTCAGACATGATGTCCTGACTCCAGAGCAGGGAGTGAAGGGATGGGTACTGGTGTGAAATACCTCACAGCTCTCCCCTTGGCTGCGTCCTCTCTGGGTTTGGGGTGGGGACAGCAGCAAGACCCTGGGGAAGCTTCGTTTGTCCCATCTAAAGAACAACCCCAGCACCAAACCAGCGTGGGTGCAGCTTGCTTTCTCTCGTCCCTGCCTCAGCAGGCCCTCGGTGGGGCCGGGCGGGCGATGGGGCTGCGAGGTACCAACAGAGCTGGTCTGTGAAACTTGGCCGGGAGCACAGAGGGAGATTGATGTTTGCTCGGGCCCTCAGCTGCGGGCTCTGCCCGCCCCTGCACCAGCTGGGGACAAAAGCCCCGGCCCCGGGTGGCACTGCAGGGCTGGCGTAAGCCCCCCAGGACAGCTGGCAGCTCTGTAAGGTTGGCGCCTGCCCAGCAAGCCGGAGTGATGGGGCCGAGGGGCCACGCAGGGAGGTTTGCCCTTGGGATGCTGCACATGCTCGGGTGTCTGAGCTCCACCGCAGAGCTGAAACCCCCCCTGGCCCCACCTCCGCCTCATCCTGGGTCCTGTCCCCTGGCCAAGCCTGGATGGGTGGAAAGGGGCTGGGGTGACTGTGGGGAGCACCCCACAGAGCTGGGTGGGGAGAGAAAGTGATGAGGTTTGGGGCTGAGGGCTTGCAGGGGGCTCCTGCACAGCCCTCCTGGCATCTCCCACATGGGATTAAATGTGACAGTCATCATTATGTCAGAAAAATCACCCATGGAGAGGTAATGATATTTATATGGGCTAATGGTGGGTCAGGGCTCCTGTCCCCCCAGGGCAGTTGTGCCCTTGTCCCCTCCCCACAGTGTGAGTGGGAGCTGGCTGCAGTGTTCTTGGCAGAGACAAATCCCCAGCACACACCACCGAAAATCCCAGAAAGCTTTATTTGCGTAGGAAGATCGATGCTGTTTAAAAACCCACCACTGCTGGAGGTTGGCATGGCTGCCCAGTGCCTGTGGGTGCTGCTCAGACACCGGTACCTCCCTGTTTGGCACTGCCTCGGGTGCTGGGGAGCCAAGAGTGCCTGCAAATGGGGCCTCCCCAAAAGCAAGTCTGGCCTGGACACACATTGGGACCTCATGGGGGACCCCACAGCAGGGGAGGCATGCACAGGGCTGGCAATGGGATGGAGCTGGCTCAGCCTGTCCTGTGGGTCCTTCAGTCCCCTCCTGGGTTGGCCTGGGGCCAGTTCTCTGTTTGCCCCATCTGTAAGATGGGTGCATGTGCTGAGCACTCCTTGGGGCTCAGGGGGCTCAGAAGGGCTGGACGATGCTGCCAGTCAGTCCTGCGAGGAAGAGGGTGATGAGTGGTGCCTGAGGAGCCAGACCAGGGATCACAGCAGGGGTTTCTGCCTGTTTCTGGCTTTAGAAGACAGTGCTGGCCTCCTGCCCGTGTCCCCCTCCTGCCCTGCAGGGTCCATTCTGCCATGGCAGGTGGGTCACTGTGCACTCACTGTGCCATGGGGGCACCACAGCCTCCAAGGAAAGGGGTGAATCCTGTTTCCATCCTGCCCTGTCTGGAAGACTCTGGGCCCTCTCCTGCACCCATGGCCATGGGGCCGGCTGGGCTGCAACCTCCTCCAGGCTGACTGTGGGCAGAGGGAAAGGAGAGCATCACCACACTTCTCTCTGGAGGACTTAAACATCACCTGCTGCTTTTATTTCCTGCAAAGCATGGAGGGTATCCAGGTCTGGAGGGCTGGAAGCCTTGCTGATCTTGTCCTTTTGGGGTCCCAGTTGCTCTCCTCTGCAGTGGAGGAGTATTAGGGATGAACCTGCCCAGGGGATGCTGACCTGGTTGCTGGGCCGGGGAATGGGGCAATTTTCATCTCCATCTCTCTTCTGTCACCGTGGTGCTGCGGGAATGCAGCAGTCTGGGGATGCCACCACTCACTCTGCTCCTCCAAAAGGATTGGCCAAGCTTTCCCCACTGCTTTCATCCAAAAAAGTCTCCCTTGGAATACGGGCTGTGGGCCCTACCTTGCTGATAATGCAGTGCCATCTCCCCAGTGCCAAGTGACCCCCATCTGCAACTGCGGTGGCCATCTGTGGCCCTTTAGTAGGACTGAGTTTGCCTGCTGCCTGCCTCAGGGCTGGCATTTCCTTGGAGCCAGCAGAGCCTCCTGCCCACTGTCCCTGTCAGTCCTGCCTGCAGCCCTGGGCATCACGGGCAGTTCTGAGCTCTGCAGGGAGGGCAGCGTCCCCGACCTGCTGCTTTGCTGGGTGTTGGAGCTGGGTGGGGCTGGAGGGGCCCTGTCCATTGCTGGGCAGGGGGCTATGGGGCCACAGCCAGCACCCCAAAGAGTCCAGGTGCAGGCAGGAGTGCTGCCTGCTCTTTCCTGGCTGCTGGGGGCCCACAGCTGAGTGACACAGGCTGGAGAAGCAGCAGCCTAAAGTGGTAGGTGTGGAGAGGGGGAGGGTATTTTTCTGGAAGGTGATGTTTTCTGGCTACTGGCTGTGCCAAAGTACCTGGGGCTCTTCTGGGCTTCCCCCAGCTGTGCAGCATTCCTGGCTTGTAGCTGTTTCCCTGTGCCCTGACAGCACAGCATCCTGGGGTACCTGGGGGTGACACCATGCAGGAAGCAGGAGGGGTCCCTCTCTCCAGCTGACCATGGGGACCTGTGATTGTTGATCCCCCACTTTGTGCTACGGAATCCAGTGGGGCACGGGGGCTGCCACACGTCCAGGCTCCGAGGCTCAGCCCAGTTGTGCCATCGCTCCAGGATAGAGGGAAATGTAGTTCTGGCTGAGCTTGTGGCACCAGGGCACACTGTGGGGATCACACCAAGAGGCAGTCGTACTTTTCCAGCCTCAGGGCACCGAGTGGATGTCCTCTGAGCGCAGCACTTTGTAAACGACCCAGTAGAAGATATTGAAGACCAGGAAGGTGAAGGGGAAGACGGCTCGGGAGATGGTGTCGATCCGCTTGGCCCGGTCGATGTAGCGCCTGCGGAGGCTCTCCCCTTCCCGCAGCACGGCGCTGGCTGGCGGGGGGCTGTACACGCCAGGGCCCTCCCCAGCCCCCTCCTTGGGCTGCAGGCAGGGGCCCAGCCCGTAGCCTCGCAGGTAGAAGCGGCTCTCGCGGCTCAGCTCTTCCTCCTGGCGAAGGGAAAGGCCGTCAGCCAGGGCGCCTGTGGGTGCTGGCGCTGCAGGCCTGAGGCTGCACGTCCTGCACACCCTGTGGTGTGATGAGGGCCTGTGCGAGGCTGGGCGCTCTGTCAGACACCCCCAGCCACCCAGGCAGGAGCACGGGGCCGGCAGTGCTGTGCACAGGGTATGGGCTGAGCACTGAGCCCCTGCCTTCTCATCCAGCATGTGTTGCAGGGTGCATCCAAAGGCAACCCGACCCTGGCAGCCCTGCACATGCCCCCAGCTTCCTCCCAGCTCCAGCTCTGGGGCTTGGGAAGTGTGACTCTGGCAGCCAGAGGGATGGGAGGTGAACTGGTGGAAGGGGGCACATAGGGGGTGCAGGGTGTATTTGGTGCAGGGATCTGAGGTGTGCGGGCACTGCTGTGACTGCTGTGTTTGCTGTGGGGTAGAAGTGTGACTGTGATGGTGAACAGGAAGGGATGGGCAGGTTGCTGGGGCAGAGCAGGGCAGGGATGCAGGAACCTGGCTACACCAGGGCTTGCAGGGCACCCCAGTCTCTCCAAGAACCCACGCTCTCATTTCTCCTCATGTCTGCTTGGCAGAGACTGCCTGGTGCAGCAGAGGAGGGAGGCTGAGAGAGCTGGATTCCTTGCTGGTCTCTCTGCCCTTGCTCACCCTCTCTCCCCTTGCTGGCAGAGGGCTGCAGAGAGGGCAATGTGCCCATGGAATTGCATGTTCATGATCAAGGCTGCAAAACTGCCGTGAGAGTCTCTGGCCACAGCCCACTGCCATTGTTCAGGGCACGGATTGGGTGCCTCAGGGGCTGGCCAGCAGTGCCTGCACTCCTCCCCATCAACAGCTGTGCACGGTTTGCCACTTGCCTTTTCCTGCTCTTTTAGCCTTGGAGAGGGTTATGTGCGCAAAGATTTGACGAGGGATGGGCATGTGCAAACACAGGCTGCACATCTGGCTTTTTGCTGAGCCCCTGGACTCATCTGGTCTCTGTGGCTCAGCTCAGCTCCCCTCTGCCTTTGCTGATGCTGTATCTGGCTGTGGTGTGTCCCTTCTTCCAAGGTCTGCTGCAGGTCAGTGCCTCACTTTGTGTCTGGGTGCTGTTTGGGATCCCAAACACCGTCTCTGGCCAGCACTGCCCTCCAGGACACAGAGGCTGCTTGCTGAGCTCAGCCCCTGCAGGCGCTCGGCTGGCACAGGGGCTCTCATGCAGAGAGTTTTTACTCTGGCATCTTTATTTCACTCAGCAATCCACAGGCTAAGCAAGATTTTACAGTGGGAAGAGCAGCAGTAGCTCAGCTTGCTGAGGTTAGTTGTCATTTGCAGTACAGTTTTATTTCCCTGCCTCAGGCTGAGTGCCTGCAGCCACTCTGGGCAGGGGGAGCTGGGGTGCTCTGTGTGCCCTGGGGACCAGCAGCTGCTCCCCCAGCCTGGACAGCCAGCAGGCCTAGCCTGTTCCTGAGCCTGGTTTTGAGTGGTCTGTGGGAGGACTTTACCCTCAGGCTGTGAAACCTGGGCTTTGCTTTCCCAGGCACAGGAGCTGCATGTAGCAGGGCTCTGCTCCCACCTCTGACTGAGCAGCAGCCTGGGGTGTTCCTGGTTGCATCCAGTGCTGTGTCAGCAGCACCCTGGGGCAGCTCTGCAGCCTCCACCTCAGGGCAGCTGCACTTTGGTCTGTTCTAAGCCAACAGATGGTCCTTGGGTCGGACAGAGCCTCCCTATCCCTGCCCAGGCTGGGTGGGTGTTGATCTCCAGGAGTCATCTGTGAAAGGCAGGGTGCAAAGATGCCTCTCCTGGCATCTGAAGGCTGATGATGGTGTAGAGGTGAGGGTGACCAGGCCTGATCTCCTCTTTGGAGATGTGGTTGACCCCCTGCATCTCCCCATATCCTGGGAGCTTGCCCTGCCCCACACTTCTTCTCCCAATGCCTCAAGCTGCAAAGTGCCCGTGTGCCCTGAGCAGCTGCCTGTGCTGGAGTGGCTGCAGGCAGCCAGGAGTGCCTGGAACCTGCCCGCAGGGAGGCAGAGCCCTCACCCTGCCAGAGGTGTGGGCATGGCTGGGGAGCTGGGCAGCAGCCCAGGAGCAGCCATCAGCCAGCCTCAGCAAAAGGGACTGTGCCAGTGCTGCTTTACGGAAGGGGAACCCAAGGCATGGAGTGGGGGTGTCTATGGGGAAATCTGCTCCGTTCCCATCCCTCTCTCAAAACTTTTGAGCCCAGGAACTGGCAGCCGCATCCTACGGGCACATACTCTCTGCAAATCACTGGCCTGCTTCTTCCACAGGCCCTTGCTGGCCCCCCAGGGCTGGCTCCTGGGGGCTCCTTTTGGGGAGGGGAGGGTGAGGCTGGCTGGGGAAGCACGGGGGGCTGCCGGAGGGTCGTGCTTTACCCGGGAGCTGGAGAGCTGCGAGAGCGTCGCGTAGGTGTGCTCGCTGCTGTGCCGGCTGCTCAGCTGCCGCAGGGACTCCAGGCTGGCCGTGCCGCTGCTCAGGCCCTTTTGGCATCCAGCAGTGTGCACCAAACAGAAACAGGACAGTGGGTGACCGAGGGCTCTACCTCGCTCCCGGGGCAGCGGCTCTGGGTGCCACGATGGGGATGGTGGGGAGACGGGGGCTCTGG